TCTCTCTCTCTCTCTCTCTCTCTCTCTCTCTCTCTCTCTCTCTCTCTCTCGTAGGCTGCTGATGCAGTGAAGTCAGGTAGCGAGAGGGTGAGAGGGAGATGGTGGACTGAGAAGAGGAAGAAGAAGAACTCTCTTTCACGTGCCAGGTACTAACCTGTGAAGATGGGGCTGTGCTGCAGGTACCTCGAAGACGAAGCTGGAGCCACGGCGCTGCAGGTAAGTCTCCCTGGCCTCCGCCCAATCTCTCTCTCTCTCTCTAGTACTGCTAACGCTACTACTAGCGCCCAGCGCTGAAGACTACTGCTAGCGCTACAACTACTACTGCAGCGCTCCTCCAGAGTGCTGCTGCCGAATCCTGAAGACTACCTCCAGCCTCCTGAACCGCACGTGAAGTGCCTGGGAAGTACCTAGGAACTACCTACCGGCCTAGGAACTACCTACCGACCTGCAGGGCGGGCCAGTCCTATATAGTGCTGGCCCGTCCGGGAGGCTGCTCTTGCCAATGCCAAAACGTGCCAGACTCTGGCGTTGAAGCTCAACCAGGGGTTGTCTTGAAAACAGGCCCGAAATGGCCTGTGCTAAAACCCTGGTTTGTTCCCTGAGTTTCAGGGTGTGTCAAACTGATGAGGGCCTGAAAATGGCCCTCAGTTTCAGGCTGAAACACTCAGGTCCGTAAAGGCCCTGATTTAGCCTGAAACGACACAGGGCCTGTAGGCCCTTGTTTTCAGGCTTTCAGGCTGAAATGACACAGGGCCTGTAGGCCCTTCTTTTCAGGCTTTTGGCCTGAAAACGTCACGGGCCTGAAAGGGGCCCGTGCAGCCTGTTGCAGGCGCAGCATGTATCAGACACCCTCTAAACCCCGTTCTCCTACGATGGCATTCCCCATCCGGAAGGCTGCGCTAAACGACAAAACGCAGCCAGTGTAAGCGCAGCCTCCTGGCTGCAAACTAGTATGCATCCGGCGATATTAGCGATATTAGCTCCGCGAGCTCCTTCTGTAATTCAGCTAAAGCTCTCACCGAAAATCGCAGGATTAAGCTCCCAACGGACTTATGGAAGGCAATTCGCAACGTATTTGCCAGCAGGCAAGACAACGATGGATATTAGCTTGGGCAAATAGGGTATGTTATCTGACGAAGAGTGAAGGCGTCAGGGGTCCTGTCTGAAGTCCGGATTTCCGCAGCTACGCCAACTTATTTTTTAGAGACTGACGAGTTAACGGTGGGGAGTGATGGCTCTGTCTGGGTTGCTGTGTACATGGGACTAGTGCTGTAAATATGAGTGGCGCCTTCATTTAAGCAGCACTTTAACTGATGAGGGGGCACTCAAGATGAGCATGGTGTAAGATGGCGACTGATGGCAACTAACTTCTTCCCCCCCACCTTACCACCGAACTGATTTACGATCATGGTAGCAATACTGTCTTTCCCTGGATAGAAGACAGAATGACAGAGTCATTACAACAGTATTTGGGGCAATTTTCAGTCTGGATGCTATTACATCGATAATGACCTTGCATTCTATCTGAGACGGTAGTATAAACCATAACTGGCGCCTTCATAGATAGGCCGGCATCAGACAGGCTTTTTTGCTCTCCGTTCAAATTCTCCTTTGACTACCTACGTATCTTACATGCCAAGCCTTGGAAATGACATGGTCCTGCGTCAGGCTGCTTCCTCTTTCTTCTTCTTTTTTTTTTTTTTTTTTTTTTTTTCAAAAGGGTGACGGTCTTGAGATATTATAATTGAGCTGACTGGCCCCAAGCAATTCATTAGTAGTTGGTTTGTACTCATGAAGTTCCGTCATCTGGATTTGAACACAGGTCTGTATTTCAACAGTTCATGGAATCATGGGTGTACCCACTGAGCTAGGCTCTTGGCTGCTCTTTCTTCTTCTTCTTCTTCTTCTTTTTCTTTTTTTTTTTCTCTTTTTTTCCACTTTTTTGAAGTTTTTCTTTCTTTTTCATATCCCCCTCCCACTCAGAAATGGCCCTGCGGCAGGTTGCTTCCCCCTCCTCTTTTTTTTTTCCACTTTTTTGAAGTTTTTTTTTCTTTTTTCATATCCCCATCCCGCTCAGAGATTTCCGACTTCCAAAACTACGCCCATAGAAAAAAAAGCCTTTAAAAAGGGGGAAAAACAAACGCTGTCGCCTACCAATCCCATCCAGAATGCACCATGGGTCGTCGCATGTGAGGTCTCTCTCCCTGCCCCCCCCTCGCCGCTCTTCCGGCGGCTGCCACTGATGTTTTTATTCAGAGATCACTGTCTAAAGTGGCCATCCGGACCAAACAACCAAAGCAGGGGTTGAAATAAAACAGGATCTCCTGATACCCCTCCTCCTGCGGGATAATAAAATGTGCAGACTTTTAATGATCCTGCAGGGGGAGGAGATCCTGTTTTATTTCAAGACTTTCCTTTCCCTTTCCGTTTCTCTTTCTTTTCTCTTCTTCCGCATCAGTCAACGTTGTACCAGACCATCGTATGAGGATGAACCTGGCGCTGTTCTTCTCCTCCTTCTCGATGTCTCCGCTTCTCTTGCTCCTCTGAGCCAGCTTGTGAGAGGGCAGTCTGCAGATTCTTCTGTCCTGCCTCCACAGCAGTTGCCCCGACTCCTCCCGGTTCCACGAGGCTGTAAGGCTGCCGCCTTTTTTCTGCCGCCTCAATGCGCGCTGCATCTGCTGGCGTAATCGGTCTATCTGCATCGACTCGTGACTTGACTCCGCTTAGCACCTGGCCGACAGTTTGGGGTTGCTTCCCTTCTGCCCCCCCCCCCCCCCCCCCCCCCCCCCCCCCCCCGACGACAGAGAAACCGGGGACAGACCCAGCACGCCTGGTCGGACATGGCTGCTTTTCGCTGTCTTCGCCTCGTTCAGCAGATGCTGTTCCTGCCCAAGCTTGGATGGTCCAATTCCTGCTCCTGGAATGACTCCGGTGTCCAACTGGACAAGCTCGCTGCGAAGGTTGAAGTTGGCCGCTGATTGTGCGTGAGATCCCACACTCCCTTTACCTGTGGCATGACCAACTGCCTTCGTCGCCGCACTGCGAATCGCTGCAGCATCACTAGGTGTGATTGGCTTGTCCTTCTTTCTCTCTCCTACTTGCTCCAGGACATCTCCAATTGTAATCAACCCCTCCGTCGCTTCTTGTTGTCCGCCCTGCGATGACTGTTCTTGCGCTTCTATTTGTCGTTGTTCAGCAGTTGCTAGTGCAGCTTCACCACCTGTGGCCCCTCCCCCTTGTGTTGTTTTCAGCCCCTCTGTTTCCTCTTGTTGCCCTTCCCTTGACGACCCTTCATCCCTTACCAGTTGTTGATGTCCACCAGTGGCTGGGTCATCCACGTCATCTTTGCTTCCTACCCCACCCATCTGTTCCGATTATCACTGCTCCTGCTCCTGCTGCTGTTGCTGATGGTATGTTTTCTCCTGGTGGCGCTCGTGGATTTATCCCTGCTGCTTCATGTTTACCCGAAAGGGAATAGCACCCTGCAGTGTAAGCGCCAAAACAAAATTATATTCACTCACATAATTGCAAAAAAAGAGCAAAACTCCTAATGAGCCAACTAATCAGTGATGTTGCCAATGCACAGCACAGCACACACACACACACACACACACACACACACACACACACACACACACACACACACACACACACACACACACAATGTCTGCAAGCATGAACAAAAATTGACACAGAGCAAAAGAGTGAGCCAGAATGAGCGAGCGAGCCTACTCGCAAACGTGTGTGTGTGTGTGTGTGTGTGTGTGTGTGTGTGTGTGTGAGAGAGAGAGAGAGAGAGAGAGAGAGAGAGATCTATTGGCATGGCATTCCTGTCTGCACTGTGTGCCAACGTCGCCATGCCAATCTCTCTCTCTCTCTCTCTCTCTCTCTCTCTCTCTCTCTTTTCTCTTATACACATCTAGATGTGTATAAGAGACAGGTCCTATATAGTGCTGGCCCGTCCGGGAGGCTGCTCTTGCCAATGCCAAAACGTGCCAGACTCTGGCGTTGAAGCTCAACCAGGGGTTGTCTTGAAAACAGGCCCGAAATGGCCTGTGCTAAAACCCTGGTTTGTTCCCTGAGTTTCAGGGTGTGTCAAACTGATGAGGGCCTGAAAATGGCCCTCAGTTTCAGGCTGAAA